GGGGGTAGCCGAGGAACCCGAGTAGTATTGAGTCACAAATAGGCTCCATGCTTCTCAGAAAGCCAATTTAATTCCATTAATTACCTGCTAGCTTAGGGTCACAACCTCATAATATCTGGACCAGCCTTGGTGGACTTTCATTTGAAATGTTTGTAAGAACAGATCCAGATTAAAGTAGTCGTTACACTATTCTTCAGAACTAAGCAAAACTTGGTGGGTTAGTTTTCCAGTTAGAATAAAAGAACAACCAGTAAGTCCCATGACAACCTTTAAAAAGTAATTAAATTTTGCAAGCTTGCTATTGATGTCCATATTTTTATTTTTTTAATATTTTTTTTTTTTTGGGGGGGGGGGGATATTACCGTAAAGAACTGTAAAAAAAAAACAAACAACGTATACTTTCCAAGTCATCGATCTACCTATTGCGCAATAAACGTATTTTTCTTGACTATTCTCCATGACATCTTTGCCAAAAAAATGTAAGTCTCTCTGTTTTATATATACCTTATTATATGCATATCATTACGAACCGTTTACAATATACATGTATTTCTCTCAGGTCCCATGGATGCTTTGCTCTATATACGGATATTTCAAAATATTTATTTTTGTTCTGACTCCCATAATTACAACTCTATGCCAAAACAAATTATTGGTAAAAGTTCAGATTAAGTAAGCACACGAATTGTCTGGAAGAGGTGCTCACCTTAGCTTTGTTATAACTTCTGTTCCGGTTGCTGTTGTTGTTGCTTTGTTTTCTTTGTTTTTTTTAATTTTTTTGTTTTTGGGTTCTTGGTGGTTTTTGGGTTTTTTGCATTTTATTTTTTTTGGTGTGTTTGTGTGTGTGTGTGTGTGTGTGTGTGTGTGTGTGTGTGTGTATGTGTATGTGTGTGTGGGGATACAGGTTCCCGAGTGGTGATGTGAGCCCTGAAAAATCTGAGAGCCAAGCAAGCGCATGAAATCAATTAATACAAAGCACAACCGAACAACAAAGGAAAATCTGCTTTTCTTGAGCTGAAGCAAATGCATCTATCCAGATATCTTTACGGTTATTACACACTAAAAACCCACACACAAAACCCATCTCCCACCACCCACCATCCACATACACACATACACCCTC